TACATGGACAAGCCCCCTGAGGCCACAGCCCCAGAGCAAGACCAGGGAGTTCCCTGTGGGGACAGCAGAGACAACAAGCTCTCATCACAGGAGTCAGAATTGGAGTGCTCACCAGAGAGCCTTCAGAGTCAGCTGGCTGATCCAAATCTTACCTCAGGTACATGAAATTTCAAAAACTGATCATATGAGAAGCCCAAAAAAAAAGTTAATGATAAGGAAAAAAAGAAGTGATAAGGTACTAGCTCCAAACTAGTGGGGGAGGTAAAATATTAAGTAATAATAGTAACTTAATAGTAATCATCAAGTGTTGACAGGACAGAATTATGGCTTTTAAAATTAATGTACACTTTTGTCTATTATATTATATTATATTATATTATATTATATTATATTATATTATATTATATTATATTATATTATATTATATTATATACTTTTTTTCCCCAAGCAGTTGAGTCGCACAGTCACAAATCTATTTTTACTCCTCTTGGGGTAATGAAAAGCTGATTTGGAGCTGGCTATTTCCTGGCTATTTTTTTGCTGTGACCGCTCAGCAGCGTCAATAAAAACTAAAAACACAGTGGTTGTGCGTTATGGGGATAATGGCTCATTACAAAGTTTGCAGGACCACAGTTGTGTTTGCCAGGTGGATTTCTGTGTTCGCTGTTTGTGTAGGCAGTCGCCATTGTGTTGCCACAGGGTCATACCCATACATGATTGGATACACCACATAGCAGTGTTCTCTTTCCACAGCATAGGTGGGACTAGCCACCAAGAATAACAGAATGAAATTTAGATTGGTTTTAATGGAAAGTTTTACAGTCACGGGGTTGAGCATGCATTGTTCTCACACAGACCTTATGGTTGTGCCAAAGAGAAAAATCTACGGGAAACATTTATTCTCTGTGCCTCGAGCTCCTAGTGGTTATGGTTAGTTATAAAAGCAGTAATATCTGAGCAGTCTGATAGAGACGGTGGTCAGCTCGAGCTCAAACGTTATTAGCCGAACACAGAATAGACAGAGGATTGGTCTCAGCGTAAAAATATGGCGTTTGTGTGATTGTTTCCAAGAAATAGCTTTTATTAAAGCCAGTATTGATAATCTGAGCCTGGATTTTGGCGGGGCCACACAGGGAGCAGGAAAAAGATATGTGTGTGTGTGTGTGTGTGTGTGTGTGTGTGTGTGATGTGCTAGTGAGCCACCAGAACCGCACTCTTAACAAACACTGCTCTTTGTGTATGTGTGCACCAGTGTCGAGTATGCCATCTACAGTACAAAACTCCTGTTTACCCAGAGTTCCATAGGGTTGCGCAAAGTGACCACAGCTTTAATTGAACCAAGATGTGCTCAGCTTGAGTAATGCTTTTATAACCTCGCAAACCCAACAAAAACACACACACACCAACTTGTGAAGCCTTTTTTTTTTTTTTTTTTTTTTTTTTTCCCCCCACTGATGACTGGTTACTTTAATTACACATCTGCTGGCTTGAAGTGAACACAGTTTCCCATCATGCAGTAATGAAAATTGTTACAAGGGCTTCCCGCCTATACTATTTAAAGGTTAGGCAAGGTTCAGAGGTTTCCCTTGTCTCACCCACAGTAGCCGTCCCAGTGCACATTAGTTTTATTTATTAGCTACTGACCGGCTCAGGGCAATTTTGGGGCTGCCTTTGTTGAGCGTCAGCTCAATAGGGCTAATGACCCACATTTAGTCTGACAATCAAAGACTTAAGCTGACACCTATCCATGAAAAATTGGCAGATTCTGATAGAGAATATGCACAAGTCAGTTTTACCCCTGTCAGCGCAGTTTTTGGGTATCCAAAAAGATCAACGTGGTACTGAGAGAGGATAAACAGAAGACCCAAGCAGATTCCTCAGAGCATTGTTTTCAGAGCTGTGGTGAAATGGCATATTTTCAAGCTTGCCCTCTCAGACTGGTATTCCGGGAAATGCGATTGGATACTGAAACAGAGACACACACATTTTGAGAGTCTGTGGTAGCGTTTGCCTTTGGCTGCATGTGCTTTTGAGCGCATACGTGTATGTGTAGGTGTGAAAATGCCTGTTAGTGCATTTTCTTACATTTACTGTATGTGTGTGCGTGTGCATATGTGTGAACAGATGGAACATAAGCTGTGAGTCATGGAGGTTTGGCCTCCTCTGTCGCCTGGAAAGTCAGACAGGAGGCTGGAGAAAATAGGAACCAGAGGTTTGATGCGGTGTAATGCGATTTACAAAACAAAACTGTTTATTTCCTAATTCACCTGCTGGTTTAACTCTGTAGGTGAACAATATACAGGCACTGGCACAAAGGGTATTGATGCAAGTTTGTGTTTGGCAGGAAAGCAACTGTAGGATGGAGATTAGACACTGAGATGTTCGTGGATGGAGCGGCACATTTAAATAAAAAATTGTTCAGTTGAATCCTTAAAACCCCAAAACCTGTGACAAATTGCTTCCCTTTAGTGGTCTTGAGTTTCACTTAGTTAGAAGTGCTGGATACTGACGGAGCTATGTCGAGAAGGATATGATATGGCGGTCTCTGTAGCCGTTGCCTTTTTGTGGTCATCCTGCAAAGTCATTACACCCACTGTCCATTTGTCACATGAGGTTAGCCAACAGTTAGTCCCTTCTTCACTTGTGTCATGAAATAGGGCTCTGGAAGCCTGTTTGTACAGGAAAAATGAAAGTCCTACACAACCCTACAATTATAGCAACACATCTCGTTGAATTTCACAATAGGTTGTTATTGCATCGGCATTTTCTATACCAGTCTGGGGATACAGTGTTTATGATTTTCACGTGAAACTAAAGATTTTCTCAGACATTGTCTATAAATAGCTTCCTAACCATTTACGCCTCCTCTGTGTTACTTTTCTATTTAGGTCAGGTGTCTGGGAACCACAACACCACCTTCATCTCCAGCGGTCAAGTGATGAACTTTAGCGGTGACGTCATTGTTGTCTGCGTCAGCCAGACGTCTCACGGCAGCGACGAGGTGGAGCGGGATGATGGCTTCGGCAACCCTGTCCAGGAAGAAGCCACTGAGACTGCTCCGTTTTTTCAGACCAGCTTGAGATCACAAGGGGACTACATTTCCCACTGTACTTTGCAAGATGAAACACTGCCAGTCCAGGAAGCGATGGAGGAGCAATCACTGGGAAAGTGAAAAGCGGCCGGTGGCTTTGCTTTATGTTTTATGTCACTTCAGAGATCATCGCCATAGTCCGGGTGCCTATGTTATCTTTTGATTACACCAATCAGCCACAACATTAAAACTGCTGTCAGCTGAAATGAATCATGTTGATTATATTGTTACAATGCAATGTTCTGCTGGGAAATCTTGGGTCCTCTTCCATTGACTCATACCACCCACCTAAACATCGTTAAAGATCAGTCACATCCCTCCATGGCAACGGCATCCCCTGACAACAGAATTCTCTCCAACGGGACAGAGTGTCCTGTCACAACAAAAAAACTGCTCGACAACTTGGCATAACACATGGCAGTCCAATCAAACATCTGCTGAGTTAGCAAGAACAAGCCTGATCTGCAGAGGCGCACAGGACCCAAAGGACCCACTGGCCAGACACCACAGGACACCCTCAGTGGGCTCATGTGCATGCACAGCAGAGGTTTTTTTTTTTTTTTTTTTTTTGGCAGAATGGTGGGTTTAGTGTTATGGCTAAGAGGTGTACATCAAATAAGTTATAGTAATAATGAAAAACAAATGTGTCTTGTCATGTCTGTTTTCCAGATAAAAACAAGGAAAGGATGGTGTAAAGTCATTTTAAAGTGATCAGTCAGATAACTGGGAGATCAGTCTTTTGGGAATCTGACTCTGTGTCTCCACAGTTGTCTTACTAACGAACCATCTATAACCTGGCCTATTTCAGACATTAGTCACTGAATCTTGCCACGGGAATCTATTCCCAGAAAAAAAAAAAAAAAAAACCGCAGGCCTTTTCAAATGGAAACTCCCTCCATTCCAGACAGTGATGGGGAATTTTGTTGTGAAATGGATGTGGAAGTAGAGTTCATACTGCAGGTGCATAATATTTTTATCGTTGCATTGAACTTACAGCTTGGTCTCGATACAAAGAAGTTACAAAATATTTAATGTCCCACACATTTCTATTGATTACTTGCTTTAGGTAACATCTGTAAGCTCTTAGTTTTTAACTTTTGTAAGTCTGGATGATTTTGATACTTGCGTAACGGAATATCCACCGTGTGGAACATGCGTTTTAGTTGTTGTATCATAGAACTTTGAATATGCAAGCCACAATAAGATCTGGCTGGACAGAATTTTAAACATATCAATGAGTGAATTCTTCTTTCTTGCCTGCAGGATCTGTTTATTTTTTAAGAGACACGTCCAGTTTTGGTACGATGCTTGTTTGAAGACTTTATTTTCTCCCTACTGCAACACAAGTGCAGTTTTTGTCTTCGAAACAAAATGCTATGCATTTGATAAGCTATTCTATTAGTGATTTCTTTTATTCGATTTTAATGCCCAGGCCTTCCGATGCTTGTTAATAATAACGGTTTTGTTTAAAAAAAAAAAAAAAAAAAAGGAAAAAAAAGAAAGATTTTACGAGGCAGATTGTTTGTGTGTATTTCAGAAGTTTCAGATGTGATCAGTGTGTGTATATATTTCATCTGTTTCTCAAAGACGAATGAATATGCTGTCAATTGATTTATTGTGTGGATTTTGTGAAGTCGAGTGGTGCCATTAACAGCGAAGCGCACACAGGAGTTTCAATGAACTGTTAATTTATAGCCCTGCCATATGTATGCAGCTTTGCAAAAAACAAACAAACAAAAAATGTACATATAAATCAAATTCTATTGCAATGAATTACTGAAAGACTATTTTGATCGAAATTAAATGTTTTGCATCTAATTTTTTTCACGGATGGCTGCCATCCTGCATTCTGTGGTTACTCTTGGTCAACTTTCCTATTTTAGGGGGGGGGGGAAGATTGACAAAACACAACCAAGGCTTCATTTATCTCCACAAGATGATCTATAATCTTTGTGAAGCAATGCTAATTACACATGTGGCAAGGCCTCTGTGCTTTTGTCCCTGTGTTGACAGACAGGCAGCCTTTCATCAGGCCCGGGGATGGCAAGCAGCTGTGAGGAGAAACTAATCTAGCAGTCAGACCAGCTAGCGTCACAGAGAGACCACATGAGAGGAACTGGCAGCACTCATTTGGGCCTGGTTTGGGTCAGCAGGAGTATGTTTATATGTGTGTGTGCATGTGTGTAAGAGTGCGTCTTGTCTCAGCTTATTTTATGGTTGTTTGTGAAAACAGGAAGTTATGACTAGCTTTCACATGGTTTACATGAGAACTGGCTGGCTGGCCAACACAGAGCCCGACTGCACATTTAAATGATTTCAGCTTTTTCTTTTCTTTTCATGTGTGAGAGAACAGCCTTTCATTTGACTTATATGTAGGGTAGCAACCACCTTGTGTTGCTATAGTGTGCCTCCTAGTGGTAAGTGCAGGTTAAGATGATAAACAAGACAACAAATCATGGATAAATGTTCATCTTTACAGTTTCAGCAACACAAGAAACGAGATGCATCTGTTTGTTGCATTTGTATAGGCATTTCTAAACGGACATACAGACATATTATTGTGTACCACCTTATTTATTTGCTTGCAATTTTAAAAGAGGAATCGAGATCACTGGAAAAGAGGAAATGGGCTCTTGAGAAAGGGTTTGTCTTTCATACTGGAGCACTTTCGAGGCATGAGAAAAAGCCCAATCAGCTGTTGGTTTAATAACCTGACAGTCGGTGTAACCAGGTGACAGCGCAGACCTGCGGAAAGCACCAGAAAATCCACAGTGCTGATGTGCTGAAATTACAGTCATCTCACCTGTGGAAGCAAGTTTTGGATTCCAGCTGCAGACTCGCAAAAGATCATTACAGCTGAGATTCGTTACTCAGCACTGACAGCAGATGGAGTTTCTAGTTTCTTCAAAGATAATGATTTTGCTTTTGAGAGGATATAAATATGATGAACTGCTTTGAATGGAAGCAGCAGATGGTAGCTGATAAATACATAATGAAATGAAACTGTGTGGAACTTTTACATTTTTATACATAAGAATCTTTTTAATGAGTGTCTTACAAATTTAATTGAAAAATTTGCTCTTGTGATTTTGTTACATCTACGACACAGTAATAATAGACAGTAATAATAATAATTCTAATGCAGAAAAGGAAGAAAATTTTCAGAGAAAAGGTAAATACAGCTACATACAGTCATGTGAAAAAATCAGATAAATACAACCGCGAAGAACTACAAATATGAGCATACGCTGTGTCAACGAAAACTGAGGCAAAATGCAGAAATAGTGTGTGAAACGCTAAACACACCCTTTTAATGCTTCCATAGGAATTAAGAGTGTAAGTAGCAGCCAGGTGATGCTGATCAAGTGCTTGTAATTAATACATCAGCATCACACAGTAAGTGCGAGCAACTCTAAAAGCAGGGCTTTTGGCTGTTTGTTTGTGTGGAAGCACAATGCCATAGCGGAAAGATATTACGAATGATTAAAAGAGGCTGTCTATCAGTCTGGAAAGGGTTATAAGGCCATCACTGAGCACAGTGAGCTAGATTGGCAACTGCAAAACATTCTAGACAGTTGCCAATCTTGCTGAGAGCAAACGCACTCAGATCGGGCCATTATTGTTCAAAAGGAAAGTATGACTTTTTTGGAAGGGTTGCAGGACAAACGCTCTTTTCTCTAAAATGAACAAAGCAGAACAGCTTAGGTTGGCACGGCTGCATCTGAACAAACCACAAACTTCTGAAGCAACGTCCTTTGACCAGATGAAACCAAAGTAGAGTGTTTGGCCTTAATCCACAATGCCACATTTCTTGAAAACCAAACACAGCATATCAGCACAAATGCCTCATACCAAGTGTTACGCATGGTGGTGGAGGAGCGATTATTTGGCCTTGTTTTGCAGGACCTCGGCATCCTGCTGGGGTTGTGATGAGTCTTTTTTTCTGTGTCTGTCACAGGGATAACACAGAGAGAGGCGGAAAACCGTTCACACTCACAATCTCACCTATGGCCAGTTTAGAATCACCAATTAAACTAACCCCATTCCTGTCTTTGGATGGTGAATGCAAACTCCACTGAGTCCTGCCTGGATTCGAACCCCGGATGTTGTTGCTGTGAGGGGATAGTGCTAGTTCTCGTTAAACAGCCTTATATTAAGACATGCTAAGGACCAGGGATTTTTATTGATCCCTGATTTATAAAGCCTTAGAATTGAAAAGGGTTTACTTTCCTTTTACAGTAAATAAAGATTCAGTGTCTTAAATCTAGTTTGCAGAGTCATTTCAAATACTTAGTTTGGTACGCATTATTGAGCTGAAACCTCTTAAACAAATACTTCTCTGTTTCTTTGATTCTTTAAAATACTGCATCACCAATCATATGACGCTTATCTTGAAATTCCACCTTAATTGATTAGCACCAGTGATGAGTTCCAACAGAGGGGTATTTCTTTCTGACAACAGCTTACCATTTAAAAGGCGGTCATGTTTGCTTCCTCTCTCAGTCCTGTGCCTCTACATCTCTGGGACTTTTCAACATCAGCGAAAACAATTTTTGGGTAGGGATATCGCAGTTTTATTTTACTTTGGAAATGCAAGCAATCAGGTAAGTTTTTATACATCATAACCAGAAAGCGGGGGAAAAGTCTGACGGTAGCTTTTCATTCATCCATCTGAGATAAAGGCTTTAGGTGTCTCACTCCACAGGTCTCTCTTCATCCCCACATGGTCTTCAGATACACGTCTAGATGGGAAGACAGCTATAGTGACGGGGGGCAACGCTGGAATAGGAAAAGAGACAGTTAAAGACCTGGCTAGCAGAGGCAAGCAAACAGCGCTGCACATGTAAAGACAGCAAATGCAATGATGAGTAACTAATTTCTTTACAATTGTTGTCATATTCTTTCTCGTCTGCGTGACTCAGTGTACTTGTGAACTTGTGCACTTGAAGCTTCCTATTCCCGCAAATATAATAAATACAATCAGGTGACTCAAACATAAACTGTCGAATTTTATGATAACGCATAATTCTAATGAACTCATGTATCGGTACTGGTTAATCAAAGGCAGGCAGAGGGATTAAGTTCAGAGCATACTGCCACGACACAAAGACTGCCAAACTGGCCCAGACATATGTGTTGAAATCGTGCTATCTTGTTCAAATGTCAAACATGCATGTACACGCAAACAAGAGGAATTAATCTCCTGTAGGCGCCCGGGTGATCTTGGCGTGCAGAGACATGGCGAAGGGAGAGCAAGCTGCTTGCGACGTCATGAGGGAGGTGAAGGGAGCGAAGGTAGTCACCAGGCAACTGGATCTGGCTGACACCAAATCAATATGCCAGTTTGCTGAGAATATCTACAACAGTGGGTGGCACACGCAACACACACGCGGACTTCCGAGTAGTGCGTGCATTCTTTTTTCCTTCTAAATACTGTGATGGTGGTAACAATTATCCTGTTTTCACAGCTGAGAAAGCTCTTCACTATCTGATCAACAATGCAGGCGTGGCTGTGTGTCCTTTTGCCAGGACAGTGGATGGAATTGAGATGCAGTTTGGAGTCAATCACTTGGGTAGGAGGAAAAAACACACAAGGTTTAGTTAATGACAAACATGTTAGATTGAAACAGACTTTAGCAAAAGAGCAGATGAGTTGTCAGTCAGCTCCTGTTGTTACTGCTAAATATGTGATCAGTGGTGGCTTAAAACTCCTCGCCTTTTTCTCTCCTACCACCCATTTAGGTCATTTCTTCTTGACTTTTCTGCTGCTGGACTTGCTGAAGCACTCGGCCCCATCTCGGGTCATCAACCTGTCATCAGCAGCTCACATCTTTGGCAAGATCCATTTTGATGATCTGAAAGGGGAGAAGGATTACCATCACTTCAGGGCCTACGCACAGAGCAAGCTGGCTAATGTCCTGTTCACCAGAGAGCTGGCCAAAAGGACAGAGGGTAGGGACGCAGAGACTGAAATATTATCTAGTCATTATGTGTCGTCTTTTGCCTGTCTACCTCGCCTTCCTTATGCAAGGAGAAAACGGATCTTATCTCAACAGTGTGAGAGTCCCATGCCTCAACCACAACCGCTCTGGGCGACATCAGAGCACAGGGAAATAAGTTGTGTTAAAGACTTAATTGTTGCCCAGCAAATCGCTCCTCATTCACTAATAATGCTGTCATTTCTTCCCAGATATGAGTCAAGGCTTTCTGTAACTTTTTTTTTTCTAAATCAAGTGAAACTATATATTCTGGGTGTTTTACTTTACTGATGTGTCCACTCATGTGTGACTACAAGCTGTTATCAAGGATCTGCTTCATTTCAGGTTGGATAAATAATATTTATACCAATCCCTCCAGTTCTAGGTATCACAGCCTACTCAGTTGACCCCGGCTTCGTGAACACTGACATTTTAAGGTATATAAGGCGCCCTCTTCTGGATATAGTCAAGAACTTCGGGTTTCTGATCAGGACCCCAGCAGAGGGAGCCTACACCACCATCTACTGTACCGTCACTCCTGAGAATCAGCTGGTCACTGGAGGATACTACAGGTCAGCGTGAAAACTATTTACAATTACAGACAAAAACTTGCTTAATCGCTATAAAACAGGTGTGATTAAAGAATCATGAAAGACAAGAGGAGCCATTCATCGATATCATCCGAATAATTCTTAATACACTAATTAATGGGTAATTACTAAAGATCTATGAGTCATTCTGTATAAGTGATTCGTTAGATAATAAATATTTTATAATATGCACCTTTCTTAGAAAGAACAGCGTTATCTGTTTTTCAGTCTCCAAATCGCTCAGCACGACCGGAAAATACTGTATCTCCACCCATGGCTATAACTCACATTTGATACATTTTAAACCGAGTCTGTTGATGGTCATGCAGCCCTGAAGCAATGAGTAACTACCTGAAGTAACGAAAAAGAATAAATTAGAAATGTAATGATCAATGAAGAAAGTGTGGAGTTTGATTAATTTACACGTGGTAATGCACCAAATATTACCTTACAGTTATCCAATTGTGTCTCTATTTTATCTACTATCTTCTAACTATCAGCTGATTACATTTTAATTATCACATGTTTTAGTGCACTTTATGTTACAGCAATGGAAATATATAGCTCACTTAAACGATGTGCTTATGTATTGTCCATTCACCCCTTTCCCCACAGTAACTGCTCCAGAGCAGAGAGCTCCAATGCCGGCCAGGATGACGGCACAGCCCTGAAGCTGTGGGCTGTGAGCTGCCACCTGTTGGGCATCCGCTGGAGATAAACTTCACCTTTGATCTGAAGGCTAAGACAAATGTAACAGCTTCCAATAAAGAAACATCCCTGATATAGCATTGTGTGTCCTTGTGTGTCCGTTTATGAGTGAAAAAAAAACAGACTTCCCGTTTTTATTAGACTCTTACATCATTAGGATTTTAGCTCTGGCATGCTGCTACATAGTGAAGTGAGGCACGTTTTAACTTTGGGTTTTTCCACGTTCTCGGTGGTATCACACACCGCAGTGGTGAATTATCACACTCTCGCCTCAGCTAACCCCATAACTCGAGTCTCTCCGACAGCAGGAGGCGGCAGGAGAGCCGGCTGCTCCCACAGCCTGTAACTTGTGAATCAATTATGCGTCAGCCCGCCCCTGATTGGCCCCGGCACCTATACGCAAAAGAAAACGAGGAGAGGTGGCTGACAGATGAAAAGCACGGAACCCGCTGATAAAGTGTTGTGGCGGAGAAAGGAGCTGTATTGTCGCAGAGGTCCTAAGGTGGAAACCTGTTGCTCTTTGAGGAAGAATGTACTGCAGGTAGGAGAAAAATACATAAAATAGAGCCTGCAGAAAACGTTAAAGGTTAGGTAGCTGGCTCTAATAATACCAGCAGTGTGAGATATTTGAAGATTATCCACTGTGTCACCAGATTTTGCAGAGTGATTTGCGTCGTGGTTTTATTGGTGTTTTTATGCAAATTTTGAAAACGGAAAAAAGAGCTTTGAGCATGAATCTGTTTAGACGACTTGCGCAATTATTCTGGAAACCAACTGATGTAATATACTCTGTTACAGATGCAGTATGTGTAAGTCTGATGTTGAATAGTTAGTATGAGAGCATGTGCTGATTTATAGACTCTTTTGTGTCCAAATAAAGATCAGGTCTTTAAAACTTTAAGGAAAAATATATAATCAATGCTTTTACTTGCCTCTTGTTCAGGGGTGTGTGCTGTAACCACTGGTCTTCTGAGGAGAGGTTAGATGGGAAAACAGTGGTCATCACTGGAGCCAACACTGGTATAGGCAAAGAAACTGCCAAGGACCTGGCAAGAAGAGGTACTGTGCCCAGCTGCGGGTCTTTCTCCATCTGCCTCTGTCTATCAGGTTTTCAGACGTGTGCCTGCCTCTTTAATTTACACTAACTGGCAGGCTGTGACTTACAGTGCATATCCCACTCTGACCTCGTGATTTAAGCACTAAGAACACTTATGTGATTGGGCTAGGTCCAACTTGCTTGGCATACCCAAGTCTATCATGAATCTGAATAAAAATATAGATAAAAATTTGTGGGGTTTTTTGTTTTGTTTTGTTTTTTAATATATTTTTTTAAAATGAGCATCTTGGTTAATGTTTCAATGATTCCAGACGACTGTCAGAAATTGAAGACAGATGAGGCGTCGCAGGGACAGAGGGAGCATTGTGAGGGTCCCCTGCAGGGCCAGACATGAAACAAAGACAGTGCATCTAGCAGTCGTGCACACACATGCACACACACACACATGCACACACACACACATAGTGAGTAATATGAAAGCTGGTTCTGCATACAAGACTCAGTTTGTTCAGCCATCTGCATCATGACGGACACAGCATGCCACATACACCTTCCTCAGTTTAAGAACAACCAACATGTAATTTTTTTTTAAATTTACACTGGCACCAGTATAAAATAACCCATAGTAATAATAATAAAACTAGATTCCCAGCCTTAAAACAAAGTAGAAGGAGGCACAGCATCATCTTTCAGTAAACTGGATTATGCAACAATGTGATGACAACATGATTGGATTTGGAAAGATTGATAACGAGAAGCGATTCCTTCAGGCACTGCATCTCAACATTGTCAATCGTTTGTTATGATTTTGATCGAAATTTATTTTATTATTATTATCATTTACTAATTTATTTTACTTTTTGGTCCACGTAATGAGTTGTCAAAGGAAGCTGTCCATGTGAAATTTAATGTTTATGAAGTGAAATCAGGAAAGACTGTTACAATTACATATCATACTGAGTGTGAATAATCATTCTATGATCAAAACTGACTCAAGCCATTTTTGCTTTTTATTACATACTCAGATGATTTGCGCATGTGAAAAAAAAAATCATCTGCTGAAAGATCTTGGACGTGACTCAGTACACGCCTCTTGGACTTGACTCTCACTGTTTGTTTACTATTTTATTTAATTGTATGAACTCGCCATCCCTGTTGATGTGGGAATAGTTTGGTCCTCAGGATGGAAACAAAGACGGCAGCAATAGGATGGAGATGCTATATTACAACTAGCTAATGGCTCCCATCTTCTATAATTACTGGGCGCAGCAGCTATTTTGCATATGTGTGAGTGTGTTTGCAGGAGAGCGTGTGTGTATGTGTGTGTGCATATTTGTGCCTGCATATGGGTGAAAGAAAGGGTGGGTGCATGTGTCCTCAAACCCCCCCCCCCCCCCCCCCCCTTCTGTGCTCATTAAGAAGAATGCATGGTAATTTGTGTCAGAAGCAAATGAGAACGACACAATCGAGAGGGTCTTGTGTTTGTTCGAGTGGAGCAGTTGGCTAAATGAGATGCTGAGTAAGAGCTTAGAAAACATTAGAGGACAATCTGAAGAACCCTGAAAGATTAAGGTTCTTCATTTAATGCTGGGAGCTTTTGTATCCCACCAAATGAGCAAAGCTTTTTTTGTAGTTTTAAGTTTGGGAATCTTTTGAACTCTACTGTTCAAGTATTAGGGTAGTACAATACAACTGCTGTGAAAATGGCTGTTATGGGGTGCATAAAAATCATTTGTTGCCAAAAACAGGATGTGAGCTCAGAGTGAAATTTCACACTTTCAAGAATATGATGTGGGTCAAGTCTTTCCTAATGAAACTTGGGGTGATTTAAGGTCCCTGTGCTCACCTAAACTGATACTCTGTAGTGAGAGACTGTATTTTATTATACTATTTGTCAGTAGCTTGTGCTCTGTGGATCTTACTTTTTAGGTGCACGCATCATCATGGCGTGCAGAGACCTCGAGAGGGCAGAGGAGGCACGGACGGACATTTTGGAAGACACAGGAAATGAGAACGTGGTCATCAGGAAACTTGATCTGTCTGACACCAAGTCCATCAGGGCCTTTGCTGAAGTTGTTATCAAAGGTATATGCTTTTTTTTAAAATCCACTTTTCCTTTCAAGAGCATACTTGTATGCCTCTTAAGGAGTAATGCACTCTTCAAGCAAACAGGGCTCACTAATTGCAGGGCTGATGTATAAATCCCTGTTTGTTCAGCCCCTCCACTGCCTCTGCTGCCGATAATTAGAGGCATACTGTAAAAGCATTTGAATTTAAAACCAGTTGTTTTATCAGATATGAAGTGTATTCGGTACATATGAAATTTTATACCCAATCTTTATCAGTTTGTGTGGTTTTTTGGTTTTTTTCTCCAGAGGAAAAACAAGTGAATATCCTGATAAACAACGCAGGCATTATGATGTGTCCCTACTCCAAGACGGCTGATGGGTTTGAAATGCAGCTAGGTGTCAATCACTTGGGTAAGTTACTCTCAGTTTTGTATTGTTCTGTCTGCATTTTTACGCCTCTTTTTTGTTTTGAAATTAAGGCTCATGTTTCATATTTAGAAGCAGTCATTAAATATGTTTACAAAGTTTGCTTGGCTACAACTTTTTCTGACAGCTTAGATTTGTCAGTTTACTTTAACGTGAACAGCTGACAGTTACATTGTGCCTCTGACTGAATTTATGCTAAGTTTGCCTGGTGACAGGCGTATTTTCATAGTGAAAAAGGTCATTTTAAATCTGGCATTAATAACACATCTCACCAAGCTAGGACAATGAACTAGAGTTGCTGCTGCCAGTGTTTCCTCCTTTATTGGACCATGGATTCTTCCTAGGTGATGTTTTCCTCCATGTTATTTTTGTCTCAGGCTGACGGAGCGGGAACACTCTGTGCTCCAGCATGGTCTCCCACACACATATGCAAACACACAGACATGTACAAATATCCAGAAATAAACCTGTGCACTTTGGCACATTCTTTATGTGTTCACATGCTCTTTTAAACAGTGATATTGTTACGCAAAATGGGAATTAATGAAAAAACAGTAAAGAAAAATGCTCTTATTAAGATCAAGAAGAGTCCCTCAACGTTTTGCAAACAAAAAAAGAAAAAGAAAACTTCTTGGCATGCATTGTATTGGGTGACACACTGTTTACCACATCAGCAGGAATAATATCCGGTGATAATGTAAACTTTCTGACTTCTAAGCAGAAAGCTCACAGCAAGGAAGAAGGAGTAGGAAAAAAACCACGAGATTTGCTTGAGATTGCGACTCCTGCGGTTGTAGAGTGCCATGTAAATTGAAAACGAGGGTGGCCAGGTTTGGTTGTCTAAATGGAGTCAGATTTTAGATTGTTCTCAGTCAGGTGGCTGGCTTTTTTATAAACTCCACAGGAAGAGCTACTTTATGTTGCATATGAGAAACAACCACACAAATTCCAGCAACAGGTATACAAGAAGCACAGCTAGTCACTGATGTGATTGGTACAGTTTCCTTATGTGTCCTTTTTGCAAATTAGTAAAACTAATTATATTTGTTAAAAGGGTTATTATACATACACTACACATTAATTGCTGGGTTTGCTTTGTTAATAAATTAACAAGAAAAGGTGTTCTAATTGTTTTCATCAGGTCACGTCCTGCTGACTTACTTACTCTTGGACCTCATCAAGCGTTCTGCTCCGGCCCGTATTGTCGTGGTGGCATCGGTGGCCCATACTTGGACTGGGCTTCGACTGGATGATATCAACAGTGAGAAGAGTTACGATGCCATGAAGGCCTACGGACAGAGCAAACTGGCTAACGTCCTCTTTGCACGCTCACTCGCAAAAAGGTTGCAAGGTGAGCTTTTAGAAAAGGAATATCCAAATGTGCATCATGAGGAATGAAGGCTATAACACATGGGTATCTTACAGCCATGATATGGCCACAGAAATGTGTAAAAGTGGAGCATGTGCAGACATCGTGTAGGCGGGTTTTGCTGAGAGACTCAGAGTCATGGAATCTGACTAATGGGATGAAGTTGTGCTGTTGAGTCAAGGAAGTAGATTTTTTTTTTTTTACATTTTTACATAACAACAGTCTGGCAGCAACAAGCTTAAACTTTCTATTAACGTCACCCTGAGTAACTTGCAGAAATACTTGCCTATGTCAGTACCTGTCTGCCTTCGTCATCTGCCAACAGTTACATTTGAGTCCCACTTCCACTTGAATGCTCTCTTTAATCCTCCAGGAGTAGAGCTCAGTCCATTAACTCAGAAATAAACTGAAGGTGTTTTAACAAAGGCTAACTTGTCTGTTGTTGTTTTCATTAAAAATAAAAAAAACTATATTCACTGTAGGGACTGCTTGAAAAAAAATGTTACAAACCTCGCTTAAAATCCCAACATGCACATATAAATAGCAGGTGACAATTGTTAGCACATGTTATTTGGCAGCATTTGTATGTGCTTGCATTTGTGTTGCAGGTACAGGGGTGAGCGTCTTCTCTCTGCACCCAGGGGTGGTTCAGTCTGACCTGTGGAGGCACCAGCACCAATGTATCCAAGTGGCGGTGAAGATCTTCAAGGTTTTTACCAAGACCACAGTGGAGGGAGCGCAGACTACCATTTACTGTGCTGCAGAGCCAGGTCTAGAGAGCCTGAGTGGAGGGTACTTCAGGTACACAGTCCCAATATTTCAGTTAACCGCAAGAGCTTTTAGAGTGCCGGTGTTACCGTGCCCAGTGTTTCTACCTGGTAATAAAGGAAAAGTTACACTTGATGTAATGTTTTTTCCCCATTTTTTATAAGTTACATAAATGCAGTGCATAGTGTGTAATTCTCATTTTCTGTTTCTTTGTGTGTGCAGTGACTGCGCCCCTGCAAGGTGCTCAAGAACCGCCTCTGATGATGACTTGGCGCAGAAACTGTGGGAGGTCAGCTGTAACATGCTCGGCATCACCTGGCAGTGAAGACACTGTGTGTGAAAACATCATACTTTAAACAGCACTGCTAAGCACTTTTATACATGTATTAATGTTACTGTTTAAAAGAAAAGTAACAGGATTGCTCCAAAGACCATTTTATTTTGTAAATGATCTAAAAAAGCTGTACATTGTATGTTTTGGTGGGAAAAAGTGTTATTAAAAAGTGCATGATGCTTATTTCTGTGAGGGCATATCTTGTTCATTCCAGTCTTGAACAGCGAGATAGAGCAAAGTGTGGATCTGGTTCTGATCAGTAAAACTCAGATCATTATAAATGCTTGCAGTTCTACCTTTCCTCCTAACAGTAGAAAGAACTATTTACAGCATGGACACATATGGTTGTAAGTGTCAGCATGTAAGAGTAACAACTACATTGCAATATTTTGCTCGTATGTAACCTATAGACATGTTATGTGATGTGACATGTGTGCTTTGACACTATGACACTGAGATGAGTAGGCTAAGTATAATGAAGAAAGGAAAGAAAAGTCATTATAAAGCAAATGTCAGAATGCTGTTTAGAAATCACATCTTAATCTGCATCACATGAGGGAGGATTTAGTGCCTAAGGAATGTGGAATAAGATAAGCCCATGACCAGTAATCTGTCTGAACAATGTGTGCATTCTGATTTAGATATACAGTCTCTGAAAAAAAGGATCTAGAACCCCTGATTGTAATTTTATGGATTTAAATATGTGATAAATTTAGGGGCCCTATATTCCTTTGTAACTATTTAGTTTTCTTATTTATTTTAATTGTGAAAGTGACTAAATCATTGCCAGTTTGCTGTCTGCTAGAGTGTTTTATCTTTATTAAAGGGGATAAACTTGTTTTTCTATACCTAATTCTAGTCCTCGACTAAAGACTTGTTTATTATCTTGATTGTTTTTCATTTTTCAGTCTATTGCTATTAATGTGTTTCTGGGATGATGGCTACAAATGTTTGCTTGCCCAAATATGTAAATAAAGCACAACTTCGATGGGATATATGATCTTACAGTATCACACCAATCCTCTTTATAGCCAGCTCCATTACATTCATGGATCTTCTTTGAGGTCTTCCTCTCTTCCTTCTGCCTGTCGACTCCAGAAAGTGTAATCGTTAAGAACACCTCCCCGCCTGCAGGGGGCGGTGCAGAGAATGATAACAGCGCATAGAATACAATACGCATGCGCTCCTAAAGTCTACGTCAGCTCTTTCTGTACAAGGGGGTGATTTGTGTCGTAGCTACGTGGCTCTCACTTCTCCGACTTTCTTACTAAACATCACGTAGGAAATAGGTAAGCTAACTGCCGCTTTTAAATACACATGTGTATTTTTCATCAGATAAATGTAACCAACTATAGTTGGGTTGGAACCTTTTGATTTTGTTTTACATGTCGAGGTTTATTGCCAACATAACGCTACGTCGCCATAATAGTTAGCATATCTTAGGATAGCGTTAGCTGAGGTCGAGTTTTAATTAAATTAACGTAACATAACTGACTTAAAATCAGCTTCGCATGCTTGTTTTTATCGTATTTTTTGTTTCTTTCTTAGAAAATGAGAATATATACAGTATATTTATAATAACAAAGTTGTTAAAGCTCGGATAGCTTAAGTCAACGTCAGCACTGAAACCAGTCCCAGCTTTAAGATTGACTTGTGTTGTTTCAGACTAAGCACCATGGATCAGGTTATGCAGTTTGTTGAGCCCGGCCGGCAGTTCGTGAAAGACTCCATCAGGCTCGTTAAGAGGTGCACAAAACCCGACAGAAAAGGTGGGTGTTGTTTCTTTTTATTTATGTCGGCTAGCCTTTGTTTGCTGGAAACGAAAATGAATATATAAATTTGAACCAATTGACTAGCAATTTCCGGATCCAAAGAGCTCAATTCTTTAATAGGGACATTGTATTATTTCCAGTATTTTTAACAATGATTATTTTTGCCCTCACCCAGAATTTCAGAAGATTGCAATGGCCACAGCGATTGGGTTTGCCATCATGGGATTCATTGGTTTCTTTGTCAAGCTCATTCACATCCCCATCAACAACATCATTGTGTAAGTAAACAATTTATGATAAACAGCATCACGCAGACTGTCTCCGAACAATTTTTAGATAACATCGTCTAAAACGTGCTCTCATCTGGCTCACTGATAATTTGGGGGGTTAGGGTTTTCCTTTGTATTCCTCTCAATCTGAGTACAGCTGGTCATTCAAAATTGAAGTCAGTGATGACTCTACAGACAATGAGGGTAACTTACTGATCCAGACCCACTTCTCATTATCATCTGCCTTTACTTGTTGTTATCTAAGTTCATCCTCAATTTCACTCAGTACAATATATATGTATTTTTATTTTAAAACTCCTGTAATGTCTTAATTTTATAATGAAAAAATACTGCACTTTGATCCAGAATTTCTGCCGTCACCCTTGAATCTTGTGAATCACTATGGCTCTACCATTAATTGTTACAGTCATATGTTATAGCTGCTACTAATACTATATTTCCACAGACAAATTTAACATGATTGCATCTTTTATTTAAGTCTCTGATCAAGTTTCTCTTGTATGTAAATTTCATTAAATGGATGATAAAATGACACAAACTCTTCCAGTGATTAATCATTTTTATTACACAAAACACAGGATTTAAAAAGTCACACCTGTACTGTTGGCAGTTGTTTGTGTACAGTAGAAGACAGCATAATAATACTGCTTAGGCTGTTATAAAAAGTGAGAATATGTGAAAAATAAGGTGCATTTGTGTTCTCCAACTTAACATCCCCTTCTCTGTTTTTCCTTCTAGTGGCGGTTAGGTCCTGATCACTCAGACTTCATCTTGTGGGGACAGGAGATGGCGGTGCAGTGTTAACAGCTGGTGTGATTGGGGGGGAGGGGGGGATTGTCGGGATGGCATTTTTACATTCTGTGCTCAACATTTATATGTCACTGTGTAAATAAAAATAATTGGAAATCTGATCTGTCCCGTCTACTCTATCAACACAGCACCTTTTTACAGTAGCTTGGTTTTTACCTTTTGTAAATCTGCAATCAAAAGGCACTTTTAATTAGGCGTTCTCAATTCGATTTAATCCATAGAGATTGCTAACAGCCACAGAAGGCAGGCCAATCGTCTTGACCTCAAAGGCACACGCAGGATGCTGCTATGCAAACTGGATATCTGGACACACGTAGGCAATAATGTGCAGATATTAAAACAGAATTGTTCATTTTGAATTTAACACTACAGTGTAGAAGCTCAAGGTAGGAATAGAGTTTAACTGTATAGTGCCACTTCACGTTACCATCAGAGTAGTAATAATTTGGCATTCACGACTATTGTGGTTTGAGTATGTTATTCAAAAGACAGTGGTCACCATGGTTACAGCAAAGAAAATTAAAAACTAAATTAAAAACCAATTAGCCAAAACATTTAAAAACTAGACTGCTAGTATTCTGAACCTTTTCTGATGGCTCAAATAATGGTCCATTTTCAGCATTAGATTTTTCATTTATATCTGAGCGAACAAAAATTAAAAAGCCTGTTCAAATGTGTAAAACCTGAGATTTTTTTTTTCCCGTAGCTGATCTGGAGAAACTAGGTCACAATTCCACATTTTTCACTTCCATTAAGAAAGATTTCTCTTCTTTGTCATTCCCCGTTTTTACCGATGCCCATGCTCCAAAGAAGAGGCTGGTCTGTGGTCACAGTTACGGCCTTCCTGGGCTTTCCGGGGTCAGTGGGCTCATAAGTGTTGGAGGTGCTTACTAGCTTGCCAAACTGCAGGACGTCATTATCTGGACAGAGGAGACAGAAATAACAATTACACACAATACTAATGGCAGACCAAGTGACACCACACTTAATGCTCTTTGGCTGTTCATTATATTGCTGCATGCCAGAGTCTTTTTCTTTTTGAGAAGTGGTCTGGATCAACATGGTCTTGGATAACAATTGTGAGGCAGGGTGGTCCGCATGACTTTGGATTGTGTAAAGCCGTGTGAGGCCACACGTGGTTTTACAGCCAAATCCACAAAGGGTCTTGAATATTCCTACTTTGTGATTACTGCAGTAATCACAGTCATTACAGTTATGTCCTCATTTTAATTGCCAGTAGCAGGGAAGGTAACCACTAGGATATACAAGTCACATACCACATTTTCTTTTGTTTTGTGATTTTATACACAACAAGCCTTCAGTACTTTCCCAAAAACGACAAATGATTTGACTAAAGCAGCTGTCCAACAGTGTCCTCAAGTGGTCAAATTAGGAAACTCAGTATCCATGCAACCCACTGTAAGACAAATTTTGCCATCTGCTGGTCCTTTATTGGGAACTTATTTAGCCTTTTGCTGTAGAGAACTAAATTCATTTTAGCCTCCTTACACTGACTCCCACTAAGCTTTAGACCTGATCTTAAGAACACAGCAGGGTATGAAGAGGACTGGTGCAAAACCAATCACATTGTTAAGAACATAATACTGCTTTTTACATCTTTATATTTTGCTTTAAAATAATACATACAGTAATTCACTGAAACATGACAAACATAGATGGAAATACAATACATAAGGCAAAAACTGACAAGCTTCAAAGTCACCATCTGCTAGGACCACCTTTCTTGCTTTGTTTACATAGTCTTTAGGAATAGTTCTCCGGGCTTCTTAAATGGCATTGGAAGCTCTTCCTTGGATGTCGGCTGACTTTTGTTTATTTTTCTGTGGAGATGATCCCACAGTGCTTTAAACATTTTGCGGCCTGGGCTCTGAGAAGGCCATTTAATCAGTGATAGCGGTCCACTGTGGTTTTCTCTCCAGGTTGGTTCGGGATTGTCATTTTTTCAACATTATTATGCTGAAAAATGAAGCAGATACTTTTCAAATGGTACTGAATGGTGTGTTAACTCCATCAGTTTTAACAAGAACTCCAACACCACTGTATGAAATGCAGCACCAAACCATGACAATGCTGCCTCTGTGTTTTACTGATGGCCGTAAACACTCACTGTTCACCTCTCTCGTGACCTCCTCCACATGCTGCCAATGATTTGAGCCAAACAAATCATCATGCCATGATTTTCAGTCCAATTCTTGTGTAATTTGGCATACCTCAGCCTTCTAGATGTGTTTCAATTCATTAAGAATGGCTTCTTGACAGCCACCCTTCCCCTGAGACCATGTCTAATGTTGTTTTTGACAAACAGTAGAAGGTCCTGATGGGTCTTTCAGGTCCTGTGTCAGATCTTTGCTGGATAATTTCCTGTCTCTTAAGGACATGGCTGTCAGACACTGATCATCTGCTGTACATAGTTTTTTAGTCTTGCCAATTCTTCTTTTGTCCTCCACTTGTCCAGATTCTTACCTCTTTTTTTTTTAAGAATGTACTGCACACCACCATGAGATATATAAAGGTTTTCTGCTAAGGGCTCTTTGTGAATCACCTGGCTAGTGCAAAAAAAAATTATTTTATGCTTATCAAACTGTCATCTTTGGTATTTTTTCACAGATTCAGCTACAGAAATCCAAACAAATTGTGCGTTTAAGCAGGCTAGTAATAAAATGCCTAAAGATAAATGTTTAAATTGATTCTTTGCTCACTCGTCTGTTACATGTAAACATAAAACTGGTTATTAAATAGAGTTAGGTGCTTTTCTTAGGTTTAAATGAGAAGCACTCCTTCGAAAATGGTCAGGTAAAAGGACTGGACTGAAAATGAGAGAAAAAGCAGCCGATGTCAAAAAACAAAACAAAAAAACATTTGAAAGACCCCAAGAAAGCCTGGATAACTACTGGATCCAGACCGCTTTCACAATAAATGAATAAATAACAACAGTCTGTCTCACTGGAAGGAAAATGTGAGGGGTGGCTCAAGACTTTTGCACAGTACTGTGAATATTAATCTAGGCAAAATAACAAATCACTGATCATGCTTCAATAGCCCCGAATGACAAAAAATGTGAATTTGCACGTCACTTTTTCCATTAAGCGTTACATTTATTTACGCTGCATTAGCTCTGAACAAGCTGAGCTGACAAACACTGAGGGAATGGAGCTATTCAGTCGTGTCTAATATGAAAAGGCTACGCTCACGGTAGGAGATTTACACCTGGGGCTTTTTGTTATTTCCTCACTTTTAGCTGGTACTGTGTCCTTAACATCTGCAGCAAATTAACTACTTAAGAAATTTCTGAACCTTCAGTTTAGTAAATTTGCAAAAATCTACTTCAGTTGTGTTAATGAAGGAAAAACAGTTAATGTGGTTTTAAGATCTGAATGGAGGAAGGTTTTTTTCTTTCTTTTGGAAAGCTTTGACCCGTTCATGTCTGAACACTTTCACAAAGCAAGACACAGCAGCCTCTCTTTTTTTTTAAATTTCCATTTGTTTTTGGTTTCTTAAATCCATCTTTATTTAATTCTCTGGTTTGCCTGCTTGGTGTCAAGTGTGCTATGATCAGTGTTTAAGAGTAAGTTGGAGGATGAGTTCTCATTAGTACTATAAATCACACTGCAAGCAGGTCTTTCTTTTTTCCTTGGGAAATTATTTCTGCTCTATTAAAATATCAATTTTAGAATTTTGTGGAAGCAAAACTGCCTTAACTTCAAAAAGCAGCAACCTCAAAAGTCTCGCTGACAAGAAAACATGCAAACATGATATATTTAAGTGAAAGAGCTAAACAGCACCTTGCAAACCACATTGATTTTTTTTTTTTTTTTGCCTGTCCTGTTTGGCTCTTTTGCCATCAGAATTGTTGTCTAAGATGCCCAAAGAAAGATGCCCAACGGATTTACTTTACCAAATTGACCATCCCAGCCTTGCCGTAATGGTCCATTTGATTCACCTTTTATTGTTTATTTCATTTTCACTTACTGAATACGGGACAGACTTGACTGGGGGAAAGAAGGGGAGAAAGAAAGAGGGAAAGAGAAACAGCTGAGAAGAGGGACGGGGGAGAAGGGCAAAAAACAAAAACCAACAGAATGGGCAGAAAAAAAAAAAAAATGCATATATCGATCACCTGCTGAGAAAGAAAAAAGAAAACAAGCAGAAGAGAACAAGAGTAATAGAATAAACAACATCACAATGATATATGGGAATATGACAGTAAATACTAAATATTAAACATTATTGTGCAGCACATAAGATCAACAGAACACAGTGTGCTTTGAGGTAGGAGCCAAAAAGGGTGTAGTTTGTGGGTGTGATCACCCGTGTGTACACCTGTGAGCATGGACGCGCTTGTTTTTTTAAAAGGTTCCTTCATGTAATGATCTGCTAGAGGGTGTGGGGGGGCCACAGCCCCGTCCTCCAGGGCATGAAGCAGGTATGGAGGAGATCAAAACTCCAGACATCCAGAGGCCCCCAGAACACAAGAGACCAAGGAAGACCAACAGAGGGGCAGCCGCGCCACTGTCCCAGAAAGAGCTGAGGAGAGTCCCAGATGAGGGCTCACTCAGCAGCCGCGGAGCAGAAGCCAGGGGGAGTTGCAGTGAGCGCCCGTGAGCTCCGCCGGCAGCCAGCCGTGCCTGAGTGACCGAGCCCCAGGCCGAGAGGCCGGGGGCACCCCACCTCCGAAGTGGCCCGAGCAGCCCCAGGCTCCAGGCCCCGATAAGCGGCCGCCAAGGAGTGAGCCGGTGTGTACCTGGACGCCCATCCCCAGGACACAAAGAACCACCAACGCACCGATGTCTGAGGGAGTCCGCCACTGGCAGGGGAAGTGGTGGTAGGGGGAGATAGGCCTCCAAACCTTGGAGGGCCTGAGATGTCCCCAGAGAGGTGGCGCCTGACACCCAACCTGACATATAGACACAGAATACAGGCACACACAGACACAAACATCCATTCCCACCCTCATGCTCTCATATGCACTTACTCCACACTCAACCAACGTGGAGACAGACATAAAGAGACGCTGTACACACGATCACACTCCCCAAGCGTACTCTACGAACCGGGTCTAGGTACCCTTGCCCCTGGAGGGGGGAACTGCACCCAGACCCAGGTGGTGTTACCCTTTTCCCTGCGGTGGGGGGAGGCAGACCGCCCCGACTCCGCAGCAGCAGGGAGGCCCCACACTCCAGACCGCAGTCGGACGGCCAACTCCTCCTCCTAGCCCCCCCGCTCCAGCAGGCCGCAGAGAATGGGGGTGAGAGAAGACTCCAAACCTCCCTCCACCCGCTCATTGTAGTGTTGATGCATGTGTGTTCTAAGGTGCATTTAAAACCCAGGAGGGCATGGAGCTACCTGCCAGAGAGCAGCAGGTAAGCGCATAGTCCCTCCTGCTAGCCCTCAATGTCTACGTGTATTTAAAATTGAGAGGTGGGCAACGACGCCAGGGGTGAGGTGTACACCCTGATGGTAATTTGGACTCCGTGTATCGTGCCCACCCCCAAGATCCTATATGTATGTGTAATGAGAGTGTGAGTAATGTGAATGTCTAAGTTGTGGGATAAAATTGAGGCAGAGGCAGCCAGAAGGGGACAGGGGGGGGGGGGGGGGGGGGGTGGGGGGGGGGGGGGGGGGGTAGCCTCCTCTGCACCCTGGTGACATACCCCTACTCCAAGGCCTGCATGTGTGGGTGGTTGTGGTGGAGCGGGAAGAGGGAGGCAGCTGGAGATGGGGAGGGAAGGAAGGGAGGGGCAAATGACATGCTGTGGAAGAGAGACAGAGGTTATTTAAGATTTTCTACCACATTTGAATTTAAAGGAGGCCAATATTACAATTACTGGGGGCTGCAGGCACCTGTGCATTCAACCAGTCATCAATTTATCAATTATCCAGTTAACCAATCGTGTGGCAG